GCAGCACCATTACAATCAGAAGCGTGACACTACTGCGCTCGCACAGGTGCACCGTGACACGAGCACTGCTCCTGCACTGCATTTCAATTACACCGTCTCCTCTGAACCTCTTGCCTGCCTCCTCCTCAGGGTGGTCGCTCCCGCTGTTGGCCACACAAACTTTTTCTGAGAAGGGCCTACTATAAACACGCCAGCATTTGTGAGCCTTGTGTTCTGCCCTGCTACTCAATTCTGTCTGGGCGCAAAAGCAGTGATAGCATGCAAACAAAGGTGTGCCTGTGCCAGCAAATCCCCATCAGAAACACTGGAATTTGGATTTCATACAATTCTCACAGGCGGTAAAATATTACTCTTGTTATTATTTTCCTCAACCATTTAAAAGTACAAAACAACTCTTAGCTAACAAGCAGTGGACTGGAGCTGGCCGCAGGCTGTGGCCTGCCGAGCTCTGGTTTAGGGGGAGGCGCTGCATCCCACACGTGGAAGGGCTCTCGCGGGGTCACACGTCTCCGGGTGGCTGCTGCAAAGCCACCATTTCCTGCATTCACCTTGCTGGATGCCTTTTCAAAGCAGAGTTAACAATGGAGCTGTATGAAAGGTCTCTGTGATTACATCTTTAACCAAAGTTTCCAGGTACCAAAGAAAGAAATTGGAGGTTGACAGGTTTATATCAGTTTTATAGTTCCAAATCCACTGTGGCTTCCATTTTATAGCCTATCAAATTAGTACTCCATACATATATACACCTTTAGAAATAAAATTTACACTGCCATCTAGCGTTAAGCAACTATTTTAACAGAGAAGTTAAGAAGGTTTTCTTCACACTATGCATCACGATAATTATTTTAGTATATTCCAAAATAATACAAATGAAATGCATTTAAAAAGATAAAATTGCCCATGTTAAGTGTAAGTCGACAACAGTATCAGGAACTATTTAAAACTCACTGGAGGTGAAGTATTTTCTCTGCCGAAGAATTTATATGAAGTATTTCCATTTTGTATATACTGACAAAGTTAAAAAAGCAAAAACAGAAAAAAAAATCCACAGACTTCTTTTAAATTCTGAAACTCCGAGAGGAAGGTTCCTGAAGAGTAAGTATCTTGTCTTGAAATGAAATCCTAACAAGATGCTCCTAATCTGCCATTTCTGATGTCACGCTCAGCGTTTTCACTCATTTGCATGGTGCATTTGATGAGGGTCCCCATAGTAAAGGCTGCTGTAGCGGAGGGAACGGGGAGATGGCCCCTGCTCGGGAGCTCCTGTATATGCTGAGACCCTGAAGCTGTCCCAGAAGCTGTTTTGGTCAAAATGCTTTCTTTCTCAGTCTACCTAGTCTTTCCAAAAGGCATTTTAGGTGGTTTAGAACATCCTTACACCTGTACAATGAGCCCCTATTGAGCGAGAGACTGTCTTTTTCATCTCTGTCTGTTTGAATAGTAAGAATAAGTACTCAGGAGGAACAGATCAGGAGCTGAGCAGGCGGGTGGTAGACAGATAACTGTAGATTTCTCTTTTTAATGCAAAGTAGGGACAAGTAAGACAAAAGGGCTAAAAACAGAATCCTGGGTAGATGGAGGATAAAGAGGCAAAAAATAGAGTAGACAGAGCGAAACTTGCAGTTGGTCTTCTGTATTCACGAACATGCTCACTTTGGCAGACTCAACTATTGAAAAAAGTTCAGATGGAAATAAAAGCATCTGTAATAGACAGGTAAGCCCTTTCTTCCTGGTTAGTCCCGACACAATACAGTATGACAACTACCTATACAGCATTTACCTTGTACTGGGTGCTATAAGGAATCCAGAAGGGACTTCAGGCATATGCAGTTACTACATCTTTTTACATCAGGGGCTTGAGCATCCATGGACTAGTGTCTTGGCTGGAGGGTGGTCCTGGAACCCAACCCTTTGCTGCTACCAAAAGGTGACTGTACCACTCTAAAGAAGTCCAGGAGTGAGAAATCTGAAGAAACTGAGAAATTTTAAGAGCTGAGAAAAGGCCAGGAAAGTAGTCAACATCATTGTCATTAGAGAAAGACAAATTTAAGATGCTGTGAGTTAGCACCTCAGACTTCAGTTACAATGACTTACAATTAAAGACACTATCCACACTAAACATGTGCAAGGACTGGGACACACAACTCCTGTGCATAGCTACCAGGAGAGTCAAAACTACTTTGGAAAAATTGTTTGGTAGTTATTTTAAAGCCCTGTGCACACCTGCCACATGTGTGACCCAGAAATCTCACTCCCAGGCATTCATTCAATGAATATGTCTGTTCAAGACAACATGCATGGAAGATGCACCCTCACAGCTGCTTTATTCATGGCAGCCCTCAATGAGGAACGCCCCAACCTTCCCTGTTAGAGAAATAAACTGTGGCAGCCTCACACTGAATGCAGTAATAAAAAGCAGAACACTGGTACTATAGCAAAATGCTGTGCGAAGGAAGGAAGAACACAAGACAATGTACTGTGACTCCAATTTATACTTAGTCTGAGAAAAAGCCACTGGGTTTGGTGATTAGAAAGCCAGAGATTAGGGGCTGGGGATTTAGCTCAGCGGCAAAAGCGCCTGCCTGGCAAGCGCAAGGTCGTGAGTTCGGTTCCCGGTACCGGAGAAAAACCGAAAAACCAA